TTCCTGGGCACCCTCAAAGCTGTGAGGATTTAAGCCTGGAGCCTCAGTACCAGTGTGTTTGAAAAAACAAAGCAAGCATGCAGAGGCCCAGAATCATTCCTGGTTCTGGTTGTGCCTATCTGGTTGTGTAAGGTTATTAAGCACACCAGGTAATTAACCCCTGTAGGGAAGAAAAGCCAATGGAGCTGGGTTTCTGACACTGTCCAGTAAGTGAGTCTGAGCTTCATCTCTCTGTAATTTACTTTCCTCATCTGCCTAGTGGGAAAGCAAACATGCCTTCCTTTCTAGGCTGCAAATCCAATTCTGCCTCACATTGCTTGGCCTCAGGAGAATTCTGGAACCTCGGGAAAGCCTCCACAAGCCCTCTACTCTGGCATCTTTCCTTTTGGTACCACGCTGACAACACTGGCAATGTGGTTGCCAGCTGGAGATGTAGTGTGGCCCCCCTGAGCCAAAGCTGCAGTGGCCAGTTTGCCGAGGTGGTTGCTTTCCAGCAGGGAACCCCTTCCTCCAACTTTCTCAGTTCAGGTTCTCTACTCAAATGAATGTTCATTTTTACAAGCTGCAGCCTTCAATGGGTGGACTTGTGCCTTTAGGGCACCTTCCATATTTTCCCCTGGACAAGAATGAGTTTTCTCTTTAATGGTGTGCATCTTTCTCTCAATTACAGATGATCTCTCTATGCTGTTCTCATCTGCAACTCTGAACTTGCTCAGATGCTTGTAAGAGTTAGGTAGTAACAAGCCTGAGCTATCGGCCAAGCTTTTATAATTTATATTAAGTCAGTTGTTTGGGAAGTGGCTGCCAGTTATTTGGGAGCAGGAAGATGGGAGAGGAAAACTCTGCCTAAAAGTGGCACCTAACGTCCGGAGCTACATACATCCACATAAAGCCTGGAAAAGCTTTAAAAATAAAAGGATTCTAAACACACAGAAAGGGAGCTAGACTTGACTTCCTAGTCTTGTGTCTCTCACACCTGCTTTAGTACAGAGATGCATCTCCCAGCAACCGCCAGCACACCATGGCATACACACAGGCTGCGGTACAGAGAGGTGTCTTCCAGCAGCTACCTGTGGGCTTAAGCTACCAGAGCAAGCTCCACCAGTGCACTGCATTGTGGGTTTGGGGTGTTTGCTCATGCAGACAGAAAAGGTTACAGGTATGCAGTAAAGACAGATTCAGATGAAAAAAAAAACCTCTAAATGGGTTACAGTGTGTTTAAAAATATACACAGGCTTGGGAGAGAAAAGAAAAAGGGTAGAGAAAGTCCTTAAAAAAGGAATAGAGCAATAAAAAATATATAATAAGCCATGTAAAGATGGAAAATACACAGAGTCTGGATCATGTATGTTATTGTATTATCTTTGAATTTTTTGGCTGCTAAGAGACACTGGATTATAAAAACTGCTAGATTCAACCAACCTATATATTTTAAAAATATCTTGAATTCAAACTTTAAGCTAAAAGATGTGTTACTTGGGGGAGAGAGATGCTTTTTTTTCCCCATAGGAAATGAAAGGCTGTGGATTCATTCTGGGTTAAAGAAAACTAGGTTTGAGTGATGAAAACACCTTGAATTCCTGACTATAGACATAAAGAAATAAACCTAAAAGAACTATAAGACACATGATGTATATTTTACCTGCTCAAACACTTTAACAAAAAATCATCTTTGGCTAACTTGTATACAATGCACAGTCTATATTTGGTACAGATATGTATGTTACCTTTAAAAGTTTATATATTCTCAGTACAAGGGGACCAAATACTGATAAAAACGGATGGACCAAGTGATCCAGGATCCAAAACAGCTTCAAGGCTGCTGACTGAGATGATATAGCCTCACAGAATACTCCAACCAAGACTTAACAATTATTCTGATTTTCTCAAGGTTCTCTCAAAGATTACCAGTGCACCCAGATAAAAGGAAGCACTCTAGAGAAAACTACATCCACATTCTTAAAATATTGGTTATGGATGTTTGTTATCATTTAAGGAGGGGTTGGTTACAACTTGTTATAGGTCATGGTCAGGAAAAAAAGCTGAACAAAGGAGATTAGATTCAAGGATCTCTTTCTGCAAAATAAAAGGGGGGTGGATATAAAATGATAGGATAAAAGGGTAGATTATTGAATCTACTTTTAAACCAAACAAGCAACTACTAGTCTTAAATATTTTACATTGGTATGGATTTTTGTATATTGATACAAATTTAAAGTTAATTTTGTTATACTGTATGCATGTTTCTACTCTGTTTGGGTTATTGTGCTTATGCAACTCATTTAAAAATTTAGTGTATAATTAAAAAATACAGATTATTAGTCATCTATAATAGTCAAACTTAGTCTTGTTAGCTATGTTTTCAAGGTCATAAACAAATACATTTAGATAAATAGATGGTCTTCAAACACTCAAAGACCTTCAGAACATTGGATAAATAGTCTTCAAACACTCGAAGACCTACAGAATATGGCATTTAATACATTTAATAACCCAAGGCTTTTCATGACAGTGAGACATGTCTGCTCCTGGCAGCACCAATCTACTTCAGAGAAGATGATGGGCACTGAAGAAACTCTGTATGGAGCTTGCATTCTTTATGGCAAAAGCTAGCCATGTGGGCAAAGAAACCGCCCTTCTTCAATTGCTGACAGTTACTGTGCAAACTGGACCAGCAGGACACAAGAAAGGAGACTGCCAAACTTTGCCAAGACAAGATAGGACAGTCCTTCAAAATTCTCTGCTTCCAGAAAGTCTGTCAGATATGGTACATCTGTAGGCCAGAGATGGATGCCCCAACGTTGCAGAGGAACTTGGGGTGACTGTCCAAGCAGCCTGATGTACCTGTCATTAGGCAACATTTCATCCTTTTGGGATCTTTGATAGAGTTATAGACTAAATAATAGTTTTCCTTAGTTATGATAGAAAGCAAATTAAGTATAAAACTTGAGACTCACCAAGATAAAATAAATAATAAAGTATTTTCTCTAATTTTGCCAAATACAAACAGACTAGATATTCTAACTATAATTCTTACTTAAAAACTGTTTTTGTTGTATATAATTTTACTATATTAAAGCTAAAACCTTCCTTTTTTATTATTTTTTATTATTTAATACTTATTATTATTATTATTTATTCCTTTATTTATTAACTCTTCTATACACGGTGTGAATATATGTTGCTATGGTTGGTTTAATAAACAAGCTGACTAGCCTATGCTGAACAGGATAAAGTTAGTTGGGAAAACCAAACTAGGAGAATGATGGGAAAAAGGGTGGGAGTCAGGGAGACTCGAGCCAGCAGGAAGTGTAGAAAATGAGGTAACAAGCCATGAACCACATGGTAAAGCAGAGATAAGAAATATGGGTTAATTTAAATGTAAGAGTTAGGTAGTAACAAGTCTGAGCTATTGACTGAGCATTTATAATTTATATTAAGTCTCTGAATCTGTCATTTGGATGGGACAGGAAAACTCTGCCTACATATGCCTTTCCTCACCAACCTTCACACTTTCCCTACCTTGTGGCTCTGTCTTACTGTAGATCTGAGTAAGAGCAGGGAACAGTGGCCATTACACCCTGAATGCTAAACTGTCTTGACATTTCTCTCACAAACAAATTAGCCTATTACTTTTCAGTTCAGTTTCATTCAAGTTCTCAGGACATGAGCAGAATGCTGCCAGATTTGTCTGTAATTCAAATGGTCTGTAGCACTGTTCTCAACAGATACCTGTTCTACCTCTAAACTCCTCACATTCTTCCTGGTCTCTCCCACAAGAAGGGCCCATTAACATATGTTTATAGGGCTGTTCTAGTCCAAAGTTTCAAACTCTTCCACATTCCTGCACAAATCAGTTACAAAGGCTTAAGAACCACGTGGTCACAATGATCACAGCAACCACCCACTTCTGGCTACCAGTTTCTAAGTTGCTTTTCTTCACTACTTTGACAAGCAAGTTAGGGAAGGAAGGATTTCCTTAGGTTCACAGTTAAAGGACACAGTCCATCATGGCAGGGAGGTCACAATGTAGGAGCAGGAAACAGTGGGTCACACGGCATCCATATTTAAGAAGCTGAGAGATATGAATGCTGGTGCTCAGCTAGCACCCCCCTTTTTATCAAGTGCCCACAGAACGTTGATGCCTATGGTTAGAGCAAGTTTTCTCACCTCAGTAAACACAATCTAGAAACGCTTTCATAGTGATTCCCAGAGGTCTGTTTCTTAGATGATTCTAAACTAGTCAAGCCGATAATGGCTATCCTCACACAGCATACGGCTACCCTAGTACTAAGTGAGCTGCAGGAAGGAGCATGCTCTACTGTGCACCACACAGCACACGGCTACCCCAGTACTAAGTGAGCTGCAGGAAGGAGCATGCTCTACTGTGCACCACACAGCACACAGCTACCCCAGTACTAAGTGAGCTGCAGGAAGGAGCATGCTCTACTGGTGTTTTCTCTCCGCCTTTTCCTACTTCTACTATCTGCTCCTTGCTTTTCTCAAACAACCACAGGCTCTCACCTCCTTTGACAGATCTCCTCAAGCCGTGCTCTTTCCTCCTTTTCCTCCCTTAGGGGTCTACTTAAAGACAGACTTCTCTGTAAGGCAGCCCCTGAACACCATTCATAACTGCACATACAGACTATATATATATATATTCTGTGTATATGTGTATGTATATGTATGCATACGTATATATGTATGTATATGTATATTAATATATATGTGTATATATGTCTATCTGTCTATCTGTCTGTCTATCTATCTATCTATCTATCTATCTATCTAAATATTTTTAAATTACCTGATTCTAGAGTGTAAGCTCCATGAAAACAAGGGATTTTAACTGCTTTGTTAATAGGTGACCCCAGCACACAGCAGTCACAGAATATTTGAGTGAATGACTGAATATGACCCCAATCCCTTTCCTGGAGGTTGGGGGATCCAATACCGTCTGGAGCAGGAAACGTCCTGTCGGAAGAAGCGTCTGCACTTACTTGGCACAGCGTACCCAGTGCGTGTGTCGGTACAGAGAGTAGAGGAAGCGCTGGCGGTACATGTTCCATATTTTGATAGATTTGTCTTCGGAAGCTGTAACCAGAAGCTGGCCATCGGCTGAAAAGTCCACACTTCGAACCGGAGCCGTGTGCGCTTTAAATTCAGAGGACTTCCCTGTCCTGTAAACGAAGTTCAATAGTGATCAATGACTTAATTTTGCTATCTACCCACCATACAGAGCTGGAAACTTACGGGTAGCTCAGTGCTCACGCAACCTTACAGAAGTGCGTGCAGGCCACGTGGTGCGTCCTTCACTGGTCCTGTTGGGCACTGGCTCGGCTCATGGAAGCCACAGCTCACACTTGGCAGGAGGGAGGCTGCTTATCCTCGCCCCTGAAACGCACGGCTGCTTCTGCCTTAATGGGAAGCTGGGACCACTGTTTGAACCCGCCTCCACACGGCACTTTCCGTTACTGTAGAAACAGCCGTCTGTAGTTTAAAGAAGTTTCAGCCTTGAAGAGCTAAGGCTGACTAAGGCTGATAGCCCAAAGGCAAAGTTATGAATCCATGCCACATGGAGTTCTGTGAGCTAATAGTCTGGCCCGGGAGAGGAAGGTGTCGTCTGTGCTACACGTCTCTTTCCCCTACTCCCTGGGTCTAGACCAACCAGGATCAACTACCAAGGCTCCAGTGTGTATCGACCACCTTGCTGACCTCATGGCCTCCATCTTATACCCATTAACAACCAAAGTGCTTTGAAATTTCACATACACATCTTTTCTTAACTGGGGGAAGGAGAAAAGATAACAGAGCAATGGAGAATACAGTGTGAAGTGTTGGAGGTAAGGAGGTGAGGAAAATCTTTGAAAAATAGATGAGGACGGGTAACTCTCTGGAGAAGCCCTCACCTACCTGAGTGGGCACTATCCTTTTCCCAAGTAGCTCTCCTATGAACACGTGCTAAGTTAAAAATCTCGAAAAACTCAGCTCCTCTTCATTTAGAAGAAGAGGAGGAAGAGGAGGAGGAGGAGGAGAAGAAGAAGTAGAAGAAGAAGAAGAAGAAGAAGAAGAAGAAGAAGAAGAAGAAGAAGAAGAAGAAGAAGAAGAAGAAGAAGAATAAGAATCAGCAGCAGCAGCAGGTCAAGTGGTGCTGAGTGCCCAGGTAAATGCTGGGAAATTCTGTGCCAGTGTTAAGTCCGCAAGGCATGGTCACTTTGCACTATAACCAGGACTTAGTCATTTTTTG